GGGATTGCATTGAATCTATAGATTGCTTTGGGTAGTATGGACATTTTGATGATGTTAATTCTTCCAATCCATGAACAAGGTATGTGCTTCCACTTTTTTATATCTTCCTCTACTTCTTTCTTCAATGACCTGTAGTTTTCTGCAAATAGGTCCTTTATTTCTTTGGGTAAGTTTATTCCTAGGTATCATAATTTTTTTGTTGCAATGGTAAATGGGACTGTTTTCTTAGTTTCTCCTTCTGTGAGTTCATCATTGGTGTATAAGAATGCCATCAATTGCTTGACATTAATTTTGTATTCTGCTACTTTGCCAAATTCATTTATTAAGTCTAGTAAATTTTTGATGGAGTCTTTGGGGTTTTCTACGTATAGTATCATGTCATCTGCGAATAATGACAGTTTCACTTCCTCCTTTCCAATTTGGATCCCTTTTATTTTTTCTTCCTGTCTGATTGCTGTGGTTTCAGGACTATGTTAAATAAGAGTGGCGAAAGTGGGTATCCCTGTCTTGTTCCTGTTCTTAAGGAAAATGCTTTTAGTTTCTGCCCATTGAGTATGATGTTGGCTGTAGGTCTTTCATATATGGACTTTATTATGTCTAGATATGATCCCTCTATTCCCACTCTGCTGAACATTTTTATCAGAAATGGATGCTGGATTTTGTCAAAGGCTTTTTCGGCATTTCTTGATATGATCATGCAGTTTTTACTCTTCATTTTGTTTATGTGGTGTATCACATTTATTGATTTGCGAATATTGTACCAGCCTTGCATCCCTGGGATGAATCCCACTTGGTCATGGTGAATAATTTTTATGATGTGTTGCTGGATCCGATTTGCTAGTATTTTGTTCAGGATTTTGGCATCTATGTTCATCAGGGATATTGGCCTGTAGTTTTCTTTCTTTGTTGTGTCTTTTTCTGGTTTGGGAATTAGAATTATGCTGGCTTCATAAAACAAGTTTGGAAGTCTTCCTTCTTCTTGAATGTTTTGAAATAGTTTGAGGAGAATGGGTGTTAGTTCTTTTTTGAATGTTTGGTAAAACTCCCCCATGAAGCCATCCGGACCTGGGCTTTGGTTTGCTGGGAGAGTCTTGATTACATCTTCAATTTCTTTTGTTGTTATTGGTCTGTTCAAGTTTTCTATCTCTTCCCAATCCAGTTTTGGGGGATTACGTGTTTCTAGAAAGTGGTCCATTTTGCTTAGATTGTCGAATTTGTTGCCATATAATTATTCATAGTAGTTGTTGACGATCTTTTGTATTTCTGTGGTGTCAGTTGTTACTTCTCCTCTCTCATTTCTGATTTTCTGTATTTGGGTTCTCTCTCTTTGTTTCTTGGTGTGTCTAGCTAATGGTCCATCAATCTTGTTTATCTTTTCAAAAAAACCAGCTCTTTGTTTCATTGATACTTTGAATTGTTTTTATTTGGACTCTATGCCATTTATTTCTGCTCTGATCTTTACTATTTCCTTTCTTCTACTTGCTCTAGGGTTTTCTTTTTGTTTGCTTTCTAGTTCTTTAAGTTGTGAGGTTAGGGAGTCTATTAGAGATTTTTCTTGCTTCTTGAGGTAGCCCTATAGTGCTATGAACTTCCCTCCCAGAACTGCTTTCACTGTATCCCATAAATTTTGTGTTGTTGTGTCTTCATTTTCATTGGATTCCAGGAAGTTTTTAATTTCTTCCTTGATCTCCTCATTGACCCATTCGTTATTTAATAACATGCTATTTAGCTTCCATGTGTTGAAATGTCTTTGCATGTTCTTGTTGCAATTGATTTCTAGTTTCATGCCATTGTGATCTGAGAAGATGCTTGATATGATTTCAATGTTCTTGAACTTGTAGAGACTTAGTTTGTGTCCCTAACACGTGGTCTATCTTTGAGAATGTCCCATGTGCACTTGAGAAGAATGTGAATTCTGTAGTTTGGGGTTGTAATTCTCTGTAGATATCTATTAAATCCATTTGGTCTAGTGCTGCATTTAGAGTCTTTGTTTCCTTGCTAATTTTTTGTCTAGAGGATCTATCCAGTGATGTCAGCAGGGTGTTGAAGTCCCTGCTATGATTGTATTGCTATCGATTTCTCCTTTGAAGTCTTCTAGAAGATTTTTGATATATTTTGGTGCTCCTATATTGGGTGCATATATGTTTATCAAGGTTATATCTTCCTGTTGCAAAGATCCTTTCAATATTATGTAGTAGCCTTCTTTGTCTCTAGTTATGGCCTTCATTTTGAAATCTAATTTTTCAGATATGAGTATTGCTACCCCAGCTTTTTTTTCTTTCTGTTTGCTTGGAAGATTTTCTCCATCTCTTCACTTTCAACCTATGTGAGTCTTTTGTTGTGAGGTGGGTCTTTTGTAAACAACATATAGATGAGTCATGCTTTCTTATCCAGTCAGCTACTCTGTGTCTTTTTATGGGAGCATTCAATCCATTTACATTTAAGGTGATTATTGATATGTATTTATTTATTGCCATTGTTGTTTAGTGTGGTTCTGTTTTTCTTCCTATTTCTCCTGCTAATCATAGCAGTCCTTTCAATATTTCTTGCAGTGCTGGTTTGGTGCTAATATATTCCCTTAGCCTTTTTTTTTTTTTTGGTCTGGGAAGCTCTTTATTTGACCTTCTATTTTGAATGATAGCCTTGCTAGGTAGAGTAGTCTTGGATTCAGATTCTTGTTTTTCATGACCTTGTTTACCTCATGCCATTCCTTTCTGGACTGTAGTGTTTCTGTTGAGAAGTCAGCTAAGAGCCTTATGGGGTTTCCTTTGTAGGTAACCTGTTTCTTATCTCTTGCTGCTTTTAGGATTCTCTCTTTGTCTTTAATTCTTGGCATTTTCATTACTACGTGTCTTGGTGTGGGCCTGTTTGAGTTCTTCTTACTTGGGGCTCTCTGTGCTTCTTGAACTTGAATGCCTTCACCAAGTTAGGAAAGTTTTATGTCACTATTTCTTCAAATATATTCTCTAACCCTTGCTCATTTTCTTCTTCTTTTGGGACTCCTATTATGCGAATGTTATTATGTTTCCAGTTGTCCCACAGTTCTCTTAAGCTGTCTTCCTGTTTTTTAATTGCTTTTTCCTTTTGGTTGTCTGATTGGTTGATTTTTTCTACCCTATCTTCTAATTCACTGATCCAGTCCTCAGCTTCCTCTACTCTGCTATTTAGACCTTCCAATGTGTTCTTTATTTCTGATATGTCATTCTTCATTTTTTCTTGGTGATTTTTAATTTCCAACTGATTGATTTTCAACATTTCTATGTCTTTAGTCATGGTGTTCATGTCCTTACACATGCTGTGAGCTTCCTCAAGATCATGGCTCTGAATTCTAGTTCTGTTAACTTGCTTAACTGTATCTTGTTTATCTAATCAAGGTCTCTTGTTCTTTCATTTGGCTTTTGTTTCTGTGTTTCACCATGTTGGCTATCACAGTGGGCTTTGGAGTCTGCCAAATTTTTCCTGTGGGTGTTGGTGTTCTGCTGTTTGTGGCTCCCTCTCCTGAGTTTGGATGAGGCAGGGAGGACCCACGTTAGACTCCACTGTCAAGTCTTACTTTCTGGTTAGAGTTGCTAGCCCAGGGAATGGTCCAGTTATTCTCTAGCTTTTTGCCTGGAGGCTATTAGTAGCGGTCACCTGAAGAACTTTGGTTTCTGAGTTGAATGAAAAACTCTCTCAGGTGCTCAGTGTAAGAGGATTTCCAGAGGGTGGGGCAGATGCTGGTTATTAATGGCCCTCAATTAGCATTTCAGTGGCCACCAGGTGGGGTTGAATCTCTGAGGGAGGGGCCGCTGCCTCTTCCCAGGGCCCTGAGAAGGAGTAAGGTGACCACAGTCCTGCTTGGCTGCAACTCAGCAAAAGCTCTGAGTGCCCTCCAAATCCCGAGTGTCCTCACATGGTTCCAGTCCAGTCTGCCCTCCCTCTGCCAGAGCCCAAGGTGAGTGGCTGCTGCTATTTTAGCCTCTGTCCTGGCTCTGCACTGTGGAGCCGCTTGGGAGTTTAACCTGTGGGCACTGCTCCCAGCTAAGGCTGTCACTCCCGGCCGAGTCCTCTGCCGCTCCCAGCCGAGGTCGCAGCTCCCAGCCGAGGCTGCTGGCTCCCGGCCCCCTCTAGTATCTCCAGGATTAAGTCAATGTCCCTGGTTATGTGGTACTCCAAGCTGCTTTTCGGTTGCCTTTTCCTGACGATTTGTCTTTATTTTCGTTGTAATTCTAGTTTGGTCCTGGGAGATGGTCTGTGTAGCTTCCATTCACTCTGCCACCATTTTCCTGTTCCCACTGCTTATTCTTTTAAAAAATTTAACGTGATTGCTTTTTCTGAATGCACAGGTGTGGGTAGTAGATTTCTCCCCCAAGAAGCTCAGTGGGCTTTTTTACTGCCATATGCACCCACAAATAGGAGTCTTGGAACTTTTAGATCTTGGAACATTTCTGGTCTACAAAGTTATTGTCTTGCCTAGTGTAAAATCTTGCTGTAGCATATTTTGAGAAATCCATAGGAATTATTTCAAATTTATGTCCAGATGTCTTCCCAGTAGGGAAGGAGACTCAGTTCCATTATTAGAACAGGGGTCTAGGCCAGTAGTATCATCAAGATACTAAGACTCTGAGCAGTCAGGATACACCAGGAAATATGACTCAAGGAAAACAAGATTATCTGATAATAGACTTTTACCCCATCAGAAAGAACTACTGTCTTCAACCTATATGATCAAGGATGAGCTGGTACCAGCCTGTACTCTCTTGGACTTACTGACACCGGAAGCTCTAGCCTGCCTCTGTCCCCACCCTCAGCTGGGTTTTAGCAATGGATCTGGTTGTTCAATCAGTCCATCCTCAGACTTCACTGAGTGTCCTTTATGGGTCAGGGTGGTGTTAAGCTCTATGTGTTATAAAAAACAGGCAGTTCCATCAGGCTGACTCTGCCACGAGACAGCTGGTTGTTGAACTGCCTCAACTGTAAAGGGCTTGCTCCTTCAGCCTGGCTCTGTGCTTCATTTCCAGGGGATCTCACAGCCAACAAAGACTCTGGCCAAGAGTCTGAATCTATTCCAGAATACACGGCCGAAGAGGAGCGGGAGGACAACCGGTTGTGGAGGACAGTGGTGATTGGAGAGCAAGAGCAGCGGATTGACATGAAGGTCATCGAGCCCTACAAGAGAGTCATTTCTCACGGAGGTAGTCAAGCTCTGTGTGAATCTGGGAACTGGGCACTGGGCAGCCATATTTTTTAAATTAGAAAATGAAACTAGGGTTCTCCACAGCATGACATCCCAAAGACCCTTTTGGGCAGTCAATACTTAGGGGACTATAGAGCTAAATATATCACTTTACACTCAATTACATGAACATTGGAAAGACCACTATGCAAAAATAACTTTCCAATGTGAAAAATACTTTTTATATCACATATCTGATAGCTCTGTGATCTTCTGTGCAAATTTCTTGAAAGCCATAGTTGTTGTCCAATTTAATAACATCATCTTGGAATTCAGGTGGGTCAGCTGTAGGGCTTAACTGAATTGTTTTTGAGTTCATACCACCATAGCCTGTAGTAAGATCACTATAGTAGAGCTGCTTCTAATTACAAAATGGTCTTTTGGATCCTCTTCAGAAGCTTTATGAAATCTTAGTAGACTCAGCCTTGCTGTTGTTTGCCCCTGCCCCCAAACTGGCTTTTCTATAAACCACTGCACCTGTGCCTGACAGTAGCTGGTTACAGACAAAACCTCTGCTTGCTTCGTGAGGGGCACGGGGCAGAGAAAAGCTGTGTTTTGTATTTCTAGTGCTTCTTGGAGCTCCAGAGCCTTGACTAATTTGGGATTCACAAAAAGTCAGAGGAGCACCAGCAACACATTTAACACAGTCAACTTCAGAACACATAAACGGCTTCTTTATTTTTCTGCGGCATGCACCCCCTTCCTGCAGCCCCGAGCTCCACCCTACCCACTCCGCTGGTCCAGAAAAATGTAAGCTGACAAGGCAAACATTGTTCTCGCTTCCTTAACAACGACAGGGAAACAAGCATCTTGGATGATGTTAAACTCGTAGCTTGTGTTTTCTAACTAGCAGAAGGACATTTTGTTGTTTCAGTCAAATTTCCCTCCACCAGAAAATTTTCCACCCCAAGCGTTGCAGGTATGTATCCGACCACCCAGGGAATCCAACCATGACAGTGAAGGAAAATGCCGATAGGTGTCCCTGGTCTTTTTCCTGCTTCACAGTGTGACCTGAAATGGTAATATGTCCCCATGATAGCTGCTGTGGGGTTGGGCAGTTTCCTCCGAGGGAAACTTGCCCCACAGCCCTTCAGAATGAGAGCTGGCCTAATCTTGGAGAGGACAGACAGCAGTCACAGAGTCAGCCCTTTGTTACAGGGACAACCGCAACCCGAGCATCACCCAGATCTTCCCAGAAGGCCATCAGGTGCAAAGGAGATAGGATTTGTTTGTTTTTAGGAAATGAGAACAAATCAAAGGCTGACTATGAAAGTAGCCTGTGCTCATTCTAAAAAGTGCAAAAACATGTAGAACAGTGATAATCCCTATACATTTTGACCCATCGGTCTTACATTAAGAGCCCTTTGTTGTGAAGAAGACAGGACCACTTGTGCGCTGCTCTCCTAACACCTCTTGCTACTCCAGCACACCCACCTGCTTGGTCCTTCCAGCACAGAAGAATGATGTGGGTTGGGTCTGCTCCTTGAACAAGGAGACAGTGATTATCGTCAGCATATTAGGGTCAGAAAAGCCCTCGCTTCTGCCTGTCATGTTCTTTGTGATAACTGAGCTGACCCCTCAGGGATAACCTGGTTTGCTGTGCCCTCCATCCCTGCCACCTACTCCCCTTGGCATTAGCTCCTCTTTGTTCTGTGTTGTCAAGCTTGGTTTTTTTCTGTGTGACTGTCCGATTTGTTTGGAAAACAAGACCCCCTTTCCTGCCCCCAGCTCCCCCCCCATCTTTCTCCAGGCTCTGGCCTGCATGAGTGAGCCTCTGGCTGCACCCATGTGGCCTGTTAGTGAAATGCCGCCTCTTCCTACACCCTGAACAGCTTTTGTGCTCTGCAGGTGAAAATCGTTCAGATGTTACTTCTGAATTTGCTGAAGCTTTGTCTTCTGCACTGGAAGCTCACACCACTTTCTTAGGTCTTAGTGATGATAAAGCAACACTCCTTAGTTACCATTCTACTGGGCTTGTCATCCTGGCTTCTGATGAGCATTTAAACAAACAGCACACCATGGCAAACGTAGATCTTGTTTTGGTGTCTTACATTTTGCTATAATGAAGTTTTCCCATTCAGGCCAACAGAAAAGTGCCGGCTGTTTGTGATATGCAACTGCAAGGTGGGGGCTGGGGTTGTTTAAAAGAGCTGCATAAATTAACCGGAAAACAAGGCCTTACCAAGTGTCCGCACCATTTGGGAATATCAATGTGGGAGAGCAGTATTTGAACAAATAATTCAGTCTTCTGCTTTGGTGACCTTGATATGAGCTATTGTCAGAGGCCCTCTATACATGTACAATAACAGGGTTCAAGACCTGTCTTTGCCAGGAATTCATCTGTGACCTTGGTACATCACTTCACTTCTCTGGGCCTCAACAACTTCAGCAGTCATAAGAGGGTGACCTCCTATAAGACCATATTAAGCAATATTTCCTTCATCTGCTTAAATAGAAAAGCAAAGAGAGGTCTGGGTGGTTTGGATCAGACATCAGCATGGGGTCCCTCTGAGGCCATATTTAGCTTTTTCGAACTCAAAGCAGAGAACATATTTAAATGACCAAGGACGGTCATGCCAAAGCATTGTAATAAGAAGTTTCCTTTCTTTTTTCACTTCTCTTCTTTCATTATAGGAGATTCAGGTAACCTTCTCTTCAGTGTCGCTGGACAAATGATCCTGGAAAGAATGAGGAGAAGAGTTGCGGGCTGGTGTGTGTGTGTGTATGTTTTGGTTGCGACTGTGGCATCTTTCCTTCTCTCTCCATTCCATTCGTGGGCCAGCAAACTTGTGTTCCGTCCCTTTCATGCCTGTCTGTTCCGCCTCAGGTAAGGTTTGTATCACTGCTTCAGAGGGGTCTCAGGAGGCACCCCGGTGGGACCGCTCACCCACCTCCGCACACACACCCTGAATTCACCCTGTGGTTATTGAGGAGAGAGTCTGATAAGATACACGTTTCTAAAACCCAAACTTCAAACGCGTCATGCAGTTGCTAGCAGGCAACTTCGCTTGAGCAAGCTGCAGATTGAGAACAGAAGTCGGGTTAGCTGACCCCCTGGGGATACCTGTGAGGCACAGAGGGAATGGTCCCACTCATTCTGGTTATCCAGCTTTGTCAACAGTTGCCATTTGAAGTATCTCCAAAACCGAACAACGATGGCACCAACTTTTGATTTAGATTTAAACTCCCCTAAGGAAGCCTTTCCTTCCATTTCCGTTCTTACATCTCCTCCTGTTTTCTTCCTCTCTCTTTTCTTCCCTTCCAACTGTTCAGAGGCCCCAAGACAAAAATCCACCTTTGTAAATTTCAGTAATTTTTCTCTAAAGAGACCTTTCTGATGTCAACAGTGGTCAGAAGGTGGTGAGTTGGTCCTTAAGCATTCGTTTGGTTATTCAACTCAAGTGACCATGACAGAGTTCCAAGGACAGAGAGCGTTGACACAGAGCTGAACTGCCATTAAGACAGCTTCTAAAATACTGTTTATAAACCTCAGGCTTTCGTTCCTCAAAAATTTCTTAGAAATTCTTCAAAAATGCCTGCCTCAGTGGACTGAGCATCCTCCCATGGACTGAGAGGTGCTGGTTCGATTCCCGGTCAGGGCACATGCCTGGGTTTCAGGCTCGATTCCCTGAGGGGAACATGCGGGAGGCAGCCGATCAATGTTTCTATCTCTCTCTCCATTTCTCTTTCTTGGAAAAAAATAAAAATAAAAACACATTTAAAAATATATATATAAAAAAAGAAAGAAAGAAAAAAAAGTTCTTCAGAAGTAGAAAAAAAAATCAAAGTAACTGAACAGTCATGATCCTAAAGTTAGACAGGCAGCTGCATTTTTTCGAAAGGATGCTTTTGCCCATGTTTTTACGTTGGATCCATTACATCTGTTGTCTCTGGTTGAAGTCCCCTTTCTCATGGTGCTGAGTCTGCATGGCACACTTTGTGGTATAGGATCAGTGGCTAAGTCACCTTATCCTTTGAGAATTTCTATTTAACTACAAACTTCTTAAATAAAATTGTTCAGAGGAACACATACATCTTGTATTAAAATATATTGCTTTCTGTCATTTTCCTTCATCTCACATTCTAAAAAGAATTTGGTAAACATTGACATTTTGGAAAAGATGGAACTAAGGCAAAAAATCCAGAAGGAATCTACGGCAACCCTGCTGCACAAACATGTGTAACATCAGATGTGTACTTACATAGGTAGCATCTTCTATAAACACTGTACACAGCAACCTCAAATTAGTAATACACACGAACCCATAATTTGATATATTTTTAGATGGTATCGCTCTCTTCCCCCACCTTTTTTGTGGTAGAATCGTCCTCTCTCTTTGTAGAGAACATCTTATTAAACTGTTTTTCAAGAGTTAAGCCCATCCAAACCTATATCCAGCCAGTATTTTACTGCCATGTCATCACTAGAGGGGTATTTAGAATTCAGAAAGAATGAAATACACTGAGTTCTCCGAGGGCTAGATCAGGCCTGAGGGTGTGTCTTGTCCTCCTCCTCAAAGCTTTGAGGAAATCTCTACTTAATGATTCTGAAGTCCAGAACTATGTTATATGACAAAAATTGCAAGTGTTTAAAGCAGGATGCAAAAACATAAAAATACAGAGCATTGCTTCCATTTTGAAGTCTGGAAGACACGTGCAATTCCATACATCAACCTGTGGGGCTCTGATCCACCACCGCCATGAATTTCAAAGATGAGCTCTAAGGGGACACAGAGTTTGATTAAAGGATAGAGTGGAGCTTTCCAAAGTGGGGGAAATGTCCAGAGTATCTGCATTTTCCTTGACTCTTTCGTTACCTCTCCTGCCTGCATCTCCCCCCTCCTACTTTCTCAGGGCCATCTGCAAATGGCACTTCCACCCCTCCCCCACCCATGTTACCAGGAAGTCATTCTCAAGTTTTCCCCAAATCATAAAACTCCAAGAGGGGCAGGCTTGAACCAGACCAATCCTTTGGGAGTTTGCCCCTTTCTCTAAGAGACTAGGCTCTGCATTTTGTGCTCGGGTGTTCCACGCCTGGCCAGAACTTCCCACGTTACCATGCATGGTCTGTTGAATCTGAGACCACAAGGTTGCTACAGGCAAGTGCACCCATCCTCTAAATCAAAGCAAAGGGGTGCCACTTGTCTGCTCACTAGCACCTGGGCACTGAAGTGTGTGAGTCTAAAATCATAGTGCAGTTCCGTGACCAAGTTTTCCCTTCTAGCTAAAACCAGAAAGAACTGAAAATGATTTCTCAGAACCTCTTTCTTAGCCATTAAAGGAAAAACATTATATAAATTACCTTTTAAAATATGTAAGTTAGAAACCTACAAATCAGAAAGTGTTGTTCCTATCCTTTGATAAGTTGAGTATTTATACACCCATTCATGACTACATACAACACATATAATCATTCATAATATATGGATACCTATATAGACAAATATATTCACACTATATATTTAAGACTCTATATAACATATATGTTAACCACTGAAAGATACTTATATGGGTATATGCCTATAAAAGTAAAGCCTATATAATACTCAATTAAAGATATATCTGTTATGTCCACATCTACACACTTGCCAAGGCTTCCAGATTTATCCTTTAGGTTAAATATATTGTTAAAGCTTTCAATTGGTTACGAATGTCTTTTTGTTTGTCCCCCAGGATACTATGGGGACGGCCTAAATGCCATCATTGTGTTTGCCGCCTGTTTCCTGCCAGACAGCAGTCGGGCGGATTACCACTATATCATGGAAAATCTCTTCCTGTGAGTGATACTTACAACAAAGTGCTTGGCGTTAATGTCTGTGGGCATGTATGGCAGATAAGTATCTTTAATAAAAGGAAATAAATGATGTAGAATATTCTAAGCCTTTGATAAAAAATCAATAAAGTCTCTGTCAAGGAACACTGCTCAAGAGAATGAAACCTTTAGAGTCATTCTTTTGTCAGTAGAATGAGTTGAAAACTAAACACACATGGTTCGGTCTGCATTTTAAAATTCTGTAACATTTCCTCTAGGTGAAAGGTCATATTTGTTCCCCAGTGATGTGTTCTTAGTCACCTGATGATAACCTGACTTCATTTAGATATGCCCTTATTTAATCTGAATTGCCCTTAGTATATGATAACATTGTTGACATTTTGAAAGGTAGGTTTCTTACCCACACATGTTTTTAGAGTACTTGCATGGTTTTGTTTTTGTTTTTTTTAAAGATAACTGTACATTTAAATGAACAATGCTCACCTTCAGCAATGATCTTAGGTAACTGTATTCTTCCCAAGGTGAAGAGGTAATATGCACAACCATTCTTAAATGTCATACACCCTGTCATTTAAATGTTATATAATTATGGTATAGATAAGATAAAGTATTTCATGTGGGAGCTGAAACAGTCCTCTTCCTTCCTGTGATCAGATATGTAATAAGTACTTTAGAGCTGATGGTAGCTGAAGATTATATGATCGTGTACTTGAATGGTGCAACCCCAAGACGGAAGATGCCAGGGCTGGGCTGGATGAGGAAGTGCTACCAGATGATTGACAGACGGTAGGTGTACTCTATTATATAATCCCTAATTTTACTCTCTCAATAATTTCCATTTCTTACTTCCTCTTAATCAACCAAAAGCTCAATTACATTTTAGGCACATTGAATTATGCAGAGTTGACATAATAAATGATAAAATATTAATCAAACTGTCACTTGGTGCCCCAAATCTCAATAAAGCAAATCCTCCTCAGATTTTGTTAAACATTGTAATCTCAGGCCTGATGACCAAGTCTGTTTGAAACTATGTCATTGTGACATGGAGGTACAATTTGAGCTGGTAAACCAGTATCTGTGATTCTTTACTGGTGTCATGTGATCTTGATGCTATCTCTGTGCACTGGGATGACTGTGATTTTGGAAAATGCTGTGCTCTTATTTCAGCATTCACTGTTAACTCATGTTAACCACGAGCCCATATGGTGCCTTTGGGTGCCCTTCTTCAAGATACTTTGCTTTTATTAATACTGACTTTAATAGAACAAAACACATTATTGCCATGCACAGGGAATCTGTCATAATAAACATAAAAGTTTATGATGTCTATGATAGGTGTGACATCCACTTAGATGTAGCTTCTTACATAACAGCATACAAGTACCCTGTTATACTAACTAAAATTTGTTTAATGATCCAGACATTCATAAAGTAGTATTACTAATGTTGAAAAATGTGCCTGAAAGTCAAGAATGTGAAAAGGGTAATGTGAGGCCAAACAACCATAATACATGGTTTCTATTTTCACTATATGTAAGAAGTCACCAAGGTTCAGAGATCAAATAAATCGTCTAAGTTGCTCATAAGAGCATCTTCTTTTCAAAATAGTAAAGATAATGTTGACAAAAATGAAAAACATTGTTAAACAAAAATATGCCATAATGATTATAGATTTATGGACTCCATGAATTTTACCTTTATTCCGAGAAAATGATAATCATAAAATTTCAAATTATATATCAAGAAGCATTCTTTTGATTAATTATGACTATTCTATACTTTCCCTGCTGATAATAGTAACTTGCCTAGAACCCTCTCTCTCTATTCTTATTTGGGGACATGCTTTCTGTTTTAACTCCCACTAAAAATGGGTTATGAGTAATTTTTTTTTCCTTTTTTCGAACTAGGTTGCGGAAGAATTTGAAATCATTCATCATTGTTCACCCATCTTGGTTCATCAGGACAATCCTTGCAGTGACACGGCCTTTTATAAGGTATGATTATTATTATTGTAAAGGTAAAAGCATTACTCATAGATTTTTTAAAAATGCATTAATGGACCTATAAACAAGAATTCATAAACTAAGAGGGTATTTAGGAAGACATTTGCCTCTCTCTTTCCTGGAAAGGTACATTGGACTATCTAGCAAAAGACTCTAATTAAGAGTCAGTATTATTCCATAACGACTATTTTCCCCCCAATTATTATAAAACATGATCTCTGTATTGGTTGTTATTGCTGTAAACATAGAAGATAAAGTGGTGGATTTCCTTGTCACGTTACAGAAAGAAATAGCCAATACTTTTAAAGTTATATATGACACTTTGAAAAGAATAGAAAATGTAGAGTAACATAACAATAGAAAATAAAGACAAACCAAGGAAAGAAGCAGAAGCCATGTCTTAATTTTAATCATTCTGTTTGCACTGAATAAATACAATGTAGGTCACCAAAGTTAGGTAAAGAGTCTGGGCAACTCTGTTGACAGCTCTATCTCCCATGAAGACTCTTGGTTTCAATTCAGTTCAATTCAGTGAATATTTATTCATCATTTATGTTGTGCTAGATGCTATATAACCTTACATTTTGGGAATGCAAAGAAAAGTCAGATAGATGTCATAATATAGAGAGACTTGGAACAGTTAAATGCAACAGACAGTATTTTCTGGAGAACTTCAAAAATATGTTAAAAGAAAGTCTTGCCTAACATCAGGATACAGATTAGGTAAAATGACATTTCTCTTCCTCACAGTTTTTAATGACTCCCTAAGAAAAATTCTGATAACTTTACCTCTACAGAAAAAAGTTAGAGCTTAAAATCCCTCCTTCTTTTTTTTAGCATAGGTTTTACTGTGCCTTCCAGATTCTACCTTTTTTGCTTGCTGTTCATTTGTAATTATTTAGTATTCCCATTTTCTACTTCCAACAACTGATTAGTGTGATTCAATCTAATAGTCCTCTGGCCCTGGCCGGTTGCTCAGTGGTTAGAGCGTTGGCCTGCGGACCAGAGAGGCCGGGTTCGGTTCCCACTAAGGGCATGTACCCTGGTTGCAGTTTGTCCCCGGCCCCGGTTGGGGTTGTGTGGGTGGCGACCAGTCAATGTGTCTCTCTCACATCAATGTATCTCTCTCTTTTCCTCCCTCTCTCCCTCCCGCTCTGAGGATAAAAATGTAAAAATGTCCTCAAGTGAGGATAAAAAATAATATTCCTCTGGAAATGTATACTTTGTGAATATTTTTACATCACAAAATAGTCTTGTTTTGATACTTTTTATCAAAAAAGTTTTTTGATATATTTAAAAAACATAAAAATCATTCTTAGCTCAAGAACTGTAAAATAAAACAGTTAATAAGTTGGCTTTGGGCTGTGGGCTGTAGTATGCCAACCCCAGGTCTAAAGTAACATAAGCCAATAAATGAAACTCAGGCTTCGAACCCAATTAATTGTCTGCCTAATTCTAAAGACCATGTACTTATACTTACACATTGTATTTACAGTCTCATCATGTAAGACCCTCTTTAAATAGCCCTCTTATGAGTCAATTTACATCAGTGTGACCAACTTTTACACCAGAAAGAAGAGACCACTAAAATGTATTATGGGTCTATTTTATAGGTTGTTGGTAGTATGTGTTCACCTAAAACTTATTAGGAGGGCTAGAAGTGACTGTGTGGAGAGGAAGGTTGTTCATAAGGTAGAGCCAGTGACCCCAGGTCAAAACTGCAAGTAAAATGGAAAATTAGATGCATAGAGACATGACCTTGAAAAGCTTCCTGCTAGAATGCACAGCAGTTGAACAGAAGGAAGTACAGTTGGCAGATAGCTCAGTAAGATCCCAGTAGACTGGGAGGACCTTTTCATCCAAAACCATCTGATAAAGTTCAATGCTTGATCAAGTTCCCTTTCAAGTGGAATGAGACATTTTTAAAATTAGTTTGCAATTACACCAGTAATAGAGAAATGCACTTTATTGATTGATTGATTGATTGATTGATTTAGGTTAATCCTTACCCGAGGATATTTTTCTATTTTTTTTTTAGAGAAAGTGGAAGGGGTGTGGGGAGAGAAACATTCATGTGACAGAAACACATTAATTGGTTGCCTCCTGCACCACCTTGACTGGGGCCAGGGAAACCTGCAGCCCAGGCACATGCCCTGGACCAGATTCAAATCCATGACCCTTCAGTCTATGGGCCGTTGCTCTAATTGCTGAGCCAAACCTGCCAGAGTGAGAAATGTGTTCTTATAAAACATCTACCCCTGGCTGGTTTGGCTCAGCGTGTAGAGCGACAGGCCATGTACCAATGAGTCGTGGGTTCGATTCTAGTCAAGAGCACGTACCTCGGTTGCAGTTTGTCCCCAGCCCTGCTCAGGTCGTGTGGAAGGCAGCCAGTCAGTGTGTCTCTCTCTCATCAATGTTTCTCTCTCTCTCTCTCTCTCTCTCTCTCTCTCTCTCCCTCCCATTCTATCTGAAGATAAATAGAAAAATATCCTCAGGTGAGGATTAAAAAAAATAATAAATTACATAAAACATCTAATCATTTAGATGGAAGTGGTTTGTAATTCAAATCCAATCATTGGAACAGATTTTGAACTTTGGTTCATCTGGAATGAACTCTCATACTAAAACTTTACAAAATTTTTTTTAAGTATTTAAAATAGAAGTAAAACAAACAAACAAAAAGAATAAGAAGAGGAAAATGACAAGATTTTTGTTTGTTAAAAACAAATAAACAGAACTAAGCCAGTTAGAGAAAGACAAGTACCACATGATCTCACTTAATTACACGGAACATCATGAACGAAATAAGCTGTCGACCAAAACAGATCCAGAGTCTTGGAAATAGGGAACAGACTGACAAACCTCAGAGGGATGGGGGGTGGGAGGGGTGGGAAGAGATAAACCCAAGAACTTATATGCATATATGCACAACCAATGGACACAGACATGAGTTTGGGGAAGGCAGGAGTGAGTTGGGAGTGGGGAGCAGGGGGGTCCATGGGGAAAATGAGGACATCTGTAACACTTTCAACAACAACAACAACAACAAAACCAAATAAACAAGCAAACAAGTCATAAACCAAGGACAATGCAGAGTGGCCCTGCCATAGGAGGTCATGTGATGTGTTGGGCACTAGTGTGGACGCTGCAGTCAGACGGCACAGGTGTGAATCCAGGCTTTGCCACTTACTGGTGGTGAGTGTACTTAATTCCCTGCGTCTCAGTTTCCTTTTCTTTAGAAAAAGAATAATAATAGTGCCTACCACACTAGACTAGACTAAGAAATAAATTAGTTCATTTATATAAACCACTTAATTAGTCTCTGGCACACAGTCACTGCTCAAATAATGTAGCCTTTCTTCTCAGTGAGAGTGCTGGGCAAGGTGCTAAGTATATCAGGATTTTCAAGAAGAGGTCGTAGCCTTAAGAGGGATGAAGGAGCAACTAATCATGTATTTTTTTCTTCCTTGTTTTAGTTCAAAATTCAGCAGTAAAATTAAATACGTCAACAGCTTATCAGAGCTCAGTGGGCTGATCCCAATGGATTGCGTCCAGATTCCAGAGAGCATCATCAAGTAAGTCCTTATGATTCCAAAGATTTGGTAAGAAACAGTGCATGTTTGGAAAAAGAGACTGGAAAATAACTCATTTCTTAAATCGTGGAAAAATGACATTATCTTATGGTTAAAACAAATATTAAATATTCTCCAATAAATATATATGTTTTCCTTAGAGCCCAAGGTCACTGTTCTGTTTATTTAGATCCTCTTTCAAATAATCTTGTCTTGGAATTGTTGACTAGTGCTCATTTTCACTTTGCATTTTACTATCATTTTGTAGGAAGCATAAATTTAACATTAATCAGTACATGTCACTTGTGTCTCCGACCACACACAGAAACAATTGAGTGTGAGTGTAGCTTGGAATTCTTTATCCTTTATATAAAATTATTTGTCTGCATGACCTTAGGAAAAGAGAAAAAAAAATGTACCCTTTCTTTGTTTTCTTCTGAATCCTTCTTCTTCATGGTTCCCTTCAGGTGAGAAACCAGGCGGAGTGGTAAGTGGCGCAATGAGGAATGTTTCCTCTTCAGTAGTAAATGCAACAGTATTGATGCTGAAGGGCTCAGGATTATGCTGCAATAATAAGAGTATAAGTTAACTAAACAACCAATTGGAGCTAGGACTTAAAAACACGGATATAGGAGAGTGAGCAGTCCTGTTTGTTTCATGGTTGCAAAGAACCATGTTTTTCTTTCATTGTTTCTAATTCACTAGTTGTTTGTATTGGAATAGAACTGAGAGGAAGGTAACCATCAGCTCAAAGAAAACAGACAAGGATACTCCATCTTCCTCCCCGAAAAAAGGAGTCCTCACTTTAAAAAATAGAGACACAGAGCCCAGCCAGTGTGGCTCAGTGGTTGAGCGTTGACTAATGCACCAAGCGGTCACCAGTTCGATTCCCAGGTTCTGAGCCAAATCCCCAGTGGGGGGCATGCAGGAGGCAGCCAATCGATGTCTCGTTCATTGATGATTCTGTCTGTCTCTCCCTCTCCCTTCCTCTCTCTCTAAAATCAATAAAGAAAAAAATATTTTTAAAAAAGTAGACAGAAACTGGAAGGAAAGGACTCTTACTTAGTGTATATGTGTGCTATGTGGGGCATGGATGAGCTGTCTTTAAACCATTTACAGACACAGGAAGATAACTTAGTAAAGACAAATTGCTTAAGTAGGAACAAGGAAAGATGGAACCAGAATTCAAGCTAAGTCAGCCTGGCACCCAAACTCCCATGCCCCTTTCTAGTAGTTTCCTTTGCCTCCTTCAATGTATCCAACTAAAGCCAAATCTCAGGAGTAGATGCATTTGATTTTCCTACATTCCAACATCAGGCATGAATCCAGGATACTGACTGTCTAGAGTGGCCAGTTGGCTCAGCTGAATCAAGCAGAGTGCTCATAAGATCCTATAAATGGTTTTAATTTTCTTTAGCTTCTTAGGATTCCCACAACCAGCATACCTCACAGCTCTGGCCTATGGCTTCAAAAAGGTGTACCCTATCTGAAAAATCGAGTCTTACCCTTTAAATAAAAAAAGTTTTGGAGCACCTACCTCCTATAATACTGTCTCTCCTTGCAAAAGATGACAAAGACATTCTCTTTTCAAGTGGAAATGAAAATTGTCCATACTCAGGTGAATACAGTAATGCTTCTGTGGTGTGGCTATTGGAAAAAGATAAGAGAATGGACTTTGGGAGCTTAGCATTAGATCTGAACCTTCTGACCTGCCTCTCAGTTTCTTTGAGATTTCAGGCAACTTATTAAAACTCTCTGAGCCTTCAGCCTCAGCATACTGGAGAAGTAAGGCTCAGTTCATGGAAGGGTCCTGAGGATGGAATGAAAGCGAAGTACAGAAGATATTCAGAGAGTCTCCTGGCACAAAGTTGGCCATCAGAATGTTATTATAATCATGTTGCTTTTAGAGGCTATCAAATGGGGAAGTTTAATTGAAAAGTTACACGTGCCCAGGGCACTTTTCTTTCATCTGCACACATTACTTTCAACGCTCCATTTAAAAGTTACTTCAGGAGGAAGGGTTCCATTTGGAAAGATTTTCTTCTGGAGGAAGAACTGTACAACCATGCATGTCCTCCTCATGTGTCCATGTTGTCGCCTGTCTTCCATAACCCATTTCCTCTGGTTGGCTTCTCTGCCATTGTTGTTACTGGCCCTCATTGCCTCATTGTCATGTTATGCCATTTTCAAATTGATAGAAGCCACAGCTCCTTCCTATCACTGCATAATGTTTAGAGATCTGATCTCAGCCAATCCGAACACTAATAATCTGCTGGGATGGGCAAAATAAAAGAAACACTTGCCTAACCTGGGACTGGATTTATATTCATTGAGTATGATCAATTCTTGTTGTTTGCTGCGGTGATGTTCTAGATCAACAAACAGCAAATACTAAACTGCTGTTCCCACAGGAAATGCAGGGTTAGGTCATGTGGGCCTCTGGCCACATTTTCACCCGCCAATTAATATGTAACCTTGTTTTATGTGTTTCTGTTTAGAGATAACTTTTTTGATATGTATTATTGATTCATTATTATTGAACTCATGGTCAACAACACCATAAAACAAAGTTTATCTAACACACACGTATTCTCCTTAAGGCACATCCCAGTCTTCTTGTGCTTGGATCACTATACAGCATTTCATCACTAAGTTTGGGGGTCATTTTTAATGGCAAATTACCAACAAAAAGCAAAAAACAAAAAACATGGCCCTTAATAGACGGCAAAAAGGACACTTATTTACAGCATGAGAGCTAAAAGGAAAAGGCAGGACCTGCCCTGTTCCACATCAGAGGGGAGAGTGCACATCAGGTGACCCAAGGTTTTTGCCACCCTATGCACATCCACAGGTGACCGGGAAAGTGCTGCAGGTATTGAGTCGGGGGTTGCAAATAAAGTTTAGCAAGTAGGTGAATTTGCAAACAGATTCCGCAAATAATGAGGATTGGCTGTGTGCAATTAGAAATTCTAAATTGTTGGTTCTATCTAACAAAAATAAAATTTCTCCCAAAAGACCATTTGATTCTTATTTGGGTAGGCTTTTCCTCCCATGTTCTTAAAAACATTTACCTGTCGCTTTCTTCATCTGTTGGTCCGTTTTCTTCACTGCATCCATTTTTATCTCATAAGGTACGATGAAGAGAGATCTTATAAGAGAAGTGTGAGGTAAAATCTTCTGATCTGCAATTCACACTGGACCCTCTGTGTGTGTGCCCCAGTGTCTTACTTGTGGGTGACCTCAACATGCTACCAGAGCAAGAGGTCGTTGTATCAGTTCCTTGTGTATACCATTCCGGTCTTTGTCTCATGTGCAAAGCTGTTGAGGTCAACCTAATTTGCAAGTGAAACCTACTAAACCAGATCCATCCCTGACTTGGCCCAGGCTGCAAGCTAACTTGAACTGTACCCAACAGACTGATGTGGATGTTTTCAGCCAGCATGTTTCTGATTTCCTTGCAACTTTTATACCCACCTGTATGAAGGATTTTTGCAAAGTAAACATATGTAAGAACTGAATGGGAGGAAGTGATGTCATATTGAACGGAAAGTGTCCCTCTGCTCCAGAGGACGGTTTTCAAAAACACATACACTCCACTTACATTTGGCTCTGCTTTGCTAGTGACTATCTCACGCTCTGCTTGCTTTTTCCCTTTGTTTTGTTTTCTACACTGGTAATTTTTGCTCATGCAGACTGGATGAAGAATTGAGGGAAGCATCAGAAGCAGCTAAGTAAGACTTGGTTTTCATTCAGCAGCTGGCATGCCGTTGGCTTGCATTTCAGGAATGAGTGGAGAGAGCCTGCATGCCGGGTGTTGTATTTTTGCATCCTGATAGTAATGCTGCACTCTGAAAGTTCCCTTTGTCCCGGGATAGACTTGTACTACACTCTATTTTCCCCCCTGCTCTTGGTTATCTTGAAGAATGCATTTGTTACTGTTGTTTAATTTGTTAAAAGATGTACATGTAATTTTACACACCACAGCAAAAGAACACACCACAGGTATACACACATACACATAGACACACACCCAGAATATATGTATATGCCACATATAATACAACACTCATCTGGATAGTCATGTGGATGTTATAGTGAGGCAACAAAACCTCACTAATTTGCACTAATGGAAAGAAATAATAGCAAGTGGAAATTTGGAATATTTTTGTAGAACCAATTTAATGACTTTCCAATATTTTTTAACACCTTATTTATGACAGAAATATTGCTTAACTAACAGCTTCTGAGCTGTTTGATAAATAGGAAAAAGACTAATTGCTCATTATTGTTAAAGCATAATTTTCAAAAAGGCAAAATCATAACTTTAATATAAATATAAAATGAATTCATGCCACTGAATTTATTCAACTAATGACTTAATGAGGAAACCGGTAACAGCGGTTCTCAAACTGTGGGTCGTGACCCCTTTGGGGGTCGAACAACCCTTTCACAGGGGTTGCCTAAAACATAACAGTAGCAAAATTACAGTTATGAAGTAGCAACAAAAATAATTTTATGGTTGGGGATCACCACAACATGAGGAACTGTATTAAAGGGTCACAGCTCTAGGAAGGTTGAGAACCACTGAGTAAGGTGTTAAAACCAGTTCAAAGAGTATTAGTGAACATAGATATCAATAGACAATTTATAAAGTAATGTTAGGCTAAAACTGTTGGTTTAAATACAAAACTCATGAATGTTCAGCAGGGCAATAAACAACCTTAGGGTTATTATTTGCACTGGACAAAATTATTTGCATCTCTGCTCAACAAAAATCTAAAAGTTAACTTCTGACCCTACAGAGTTATAAAAATAGCCCATCAATAGAGAGTCAACTCAGCACTGCTTTAAAAGAACATCTAGTAATTTCCTTTTTTTATGTCCAAGTTACAAATAATTTTTCTGACACTCTGTTAAGTGGAGGCAAGTGCTATTTGGAATGTTTGCTGTATTGAGCTTTTTCTCCATTTCAAATGTTGCTTATACTGTTAATTTTTATAACCAGTTCCCATTTTACTAGATATTGCAAAAGCAGAAGGTGTTGGACAATATGCAAACAGCTACAAATGCTGTATAAATTAAGATTTTAATTAGTGAAGTTTTTATGCAGAGGTGTTAAATACCAATTTCTCATGAAAACAATCCATTTAGATTTTTTTCTTATGGCCCATTTTTATTGCAGGCATTCTGTAGAATTATTTTCCTGTAGTGTGGATCTTTTGGGTTAAAAATTCAAGAAACATTTTTTTTGCTTTAGAAAGTTTAGCATTAGGGTAGTTTACTGTTATAATATTTCTATCCTCTAGTTTTCTTTTCATATAATTGACACTCAGACTAACAATACTCAAAATTGTATACATTTTTGCTCTAACAAAATCTTAGTCTCTAACTCAACTGCTAAAATCAAGAAGTCATGGAAGGAAGATACTAGGAATTAAGGAACCGAATATTAATGTCATATAACTCTTAGCACTCATCTGGACTCATGTTGCATTGTGTCATGAGATTCCCCAGAGAGAAGCAGCAACGAGTTTCTCTTTAAGATTTCCTTTTTTAAAGGATAACATATTTATGAAATTAGCAAGTTGCTTTCAAGACAAAAAAAAAAAAATGTGGGGAGGTGACATCAAACATTTTTCAGCCAAACCCATTAGAAAATCATATTGCCATGTTTTTTTCATTAGTACCATACAATTTTGCCTCTTTCAATAGACTTTTTCCCTTCTGTATTTTCACTCTTCCTGCATAGCTACCACAGGGAAATAGTTGTCATATTCAGTTCAGTTGTGTAGCTTTCCCTTCATTTTCTCTTTTCTACCCCTCCCACCCCCTTTCCTGAGGTTTCTAAGTGGTCTCAGGCAGTCCTGAGATGTCTTGATTTCCTTACTAAAAGAAGCATCAAGCTCATGCCCAGTACATAGTAGATGCTCAGTAAAGTGCTGTTTCAGTGGTTCTCAAACTTGACTGTGCATCAGAATAACCTAGGGCCCTTGTTGAGACACGGTATCCTGCCCTCACCCACAAGCTTTCTGATTTAGCAGGCCTGAGAACCTGAATTTCCAGCAAGTTCCCAAAGATGCTCAGGACCATGCTTTGAGAATCACCCCCTTAAAGTAATTGGCTGAATAAAAATAATTAGATTTGTCTTAGGGGGGTCTGACTTTGGATATAGTGGCTAAGCCACCTATCTGAATTCTCCTCCAATTGACCCTCCTTCTTTGAAGATGACATGATATGTATGAGGAATTAAAATATATATGTACATTTGAAAATATGTGAGAAAGAATTTTACTCTGTTGACCCCGCAGATGATAGAAATGCCTCTATATCCTACCGTTTGGGCATACTAACTACATCTTCTCAACAACCTTTCAGCCTCTAAGGTGACCCCCCAAATCATTAGGCAGACTGTGTATAATGATTTGGGGTTCAGAAAACGTGATCACTGCAGATCTGTGGTTAGACTGCAGAAGCCAGATAACCCAGGTTCTTTCTATTAAGAGAAAGATGCACGCTGACTTTCCATATGACCTTTATTTAAAAGCTTCAGGCTGGTTCTAACTAAAGGAAAAACATACCCTTCCAGGGAACAAACCTGCCTGTTTATTGTTTCCTTTATTTCTACCACCGTTTTCAAATGTTCACCTTCTCTCCACATACACATACCACCAGCAGCACCTCTAGTTGACTTTCAGAGAGTGATTTCCTCAGCCTGACTTATGTTTTCTTCAAAGTTTAGCTCTATAGAGAAAAGAAAATACTTTTGATGTCTAAATTGTATATAGGGAGCCATTCGCAGGTTGAAAATGGTGAAGAATCCATCTGCTGTCTTTGGAGTGACAGTCTTCAATGGATGGCAAATTGCTATTTTCTTTGGAAGGAGTACGCAAAGTTGAAAACCAGAAAAGCTAGCTTTGGAAGATTGCCTTTTCTTGATCCCAGTCCAGCTTTGCTAGGATTTTCTAGCATACTGTCCACACTTGCCTGACTGTCCTTATTCACTGGAGTTGCTAAATCTACTCCATAAACATACCACACCATCAGAGAGGAGGGTGGGGATACAGTGGGGAAAGCCCTCTGCCCTTCCCAGGGAGAGAAAGCCTTCTGCCGTTAAAAACACTACCTAGCCCTGGCTGGTTTTGCTCAGGGGTTAGAGCGTTGGCACATGGACCAATGAGTTGTGGGTTCAATTCTGGTCAAGGGCACGTGCCTCAGTTGCGGTTTGTCCCTGGCCCTGGTCAGGGTTGTCCCTGGCCCTGTGCAGGAGGCAACCAGTCAATGTGTCCCTCTCACGTTGATGTTTCTCTCTCTGTCTCCCTTTCTCTCCCTCCTTCTCACTGTATCTGAAGATAAATGGAAAAATATCTTCGGGTGATGATTGAAAAAATTTTTTAAAAATTAATTTAAAGAAAACCAACACCCTGATGTTGATAACTATATCTCTTATTTGCAAATAGATATATAAGTTTATGACACTATTCACATTACAAAAAGAACTCTCAGATGTAGAAAAGATCACAGAATCCCTTAAACTAGTGTGTGTTTGCCAACAATAAAAGATTTAACAGGAGAGAAAGAGTAAAAGTATTCATTAGAAATTAATAGAAAGCACATCTAAAATTTGCCAACAGAGGCATCTCACCAATATGGAGTATCAAAAGCAGCAAATATTACACCAGAAATGCATAAACACATTCATACACCATAACACAACTTGGATGTCATGAGTTTGTATGGTTTGAGTTTTCTTTCTGGACACATTCAGCTCTGGTGATTGTTAGGATTCATTTGTTTCACCGGAACACAGCTCAGCTGTGTGATAGTAAGGGTCCTGTCATCCTTCTGTAACAACGACCAGGGATTTTTCCTTTTGGTGCCTTGGAAAATCCTCATTCTTGTGAAAACTGAAAGTAAAGTGTATTTATATGTGAATGAAATTAGGCTGCTTGACAGGGATTGTTTTTTGTATATAAAATATTATACCATTTGGATTATAAATAAAAATTGGCAATATATCCCCAGAATAAGCTAGTTTGAAAAAAATCAGAGGAAAAAAATGACAAGGACAGAAGAGTCCATTGGAAAGGTTTGGAGTTTTCGGTCTTCCTTTTGTTTCTCATCAACGGGCGATTACTATATTTCAGAAATGATGGTAAAAAAATTTTTTAAAAAAAATCACAACTTAATCTCATCATCAGCTCAGGTGGATTTGTTTAATATTAGCAAGGGGACAGCATTACACAGTTTAAAATGCCCAAACCTGTTGTGCTTGCAAAGTGGTAACAATGGAGAAATGTTTACTGCTTCCTGTTTTTTCCTTGTGCTCAGAACTAGCTGCCTTTACAATGATCCAGAACTGTCTTCTATGGAGAAGGAGTAAGAATTCACCCTTATCAGCTATGTGGTTACTTGCAGTATTGTGTGGCTGAAAGACACAGATATACTGAGGACTGGGTAAACCTCGCTCAGATGTTCAGCTTTTCTGTTTTCTGTTCCTGAAATTAGAAAGTGATAATGGACTGTGTTAGCTTAACGCTGTCTCATTGATCACCATTCCGTTCCGTACAGAGAGCCTATGTTTGTACTTGGCATTCTAGTTTTCCAATCCAAATATTAGGAGGCAATGAATGTAGAGCCAGGTAAAAGAGCATCTGGGCAAGAGGAATGCAAGTCTGCTTTCTGAATAAACATCATCTGTTTTAAGTAGTGAAAGTTGGGACTTTCACTTGAAATTGATATTTAGAGGGATGGGAGAAAACATTTTTTTGTTTTGAAAATTCCAAGAGGCAGTTGAGTCTGGATAGGGCTGGAGGAATGATCTAGCCTGTCTAGTCCTATCCTTTGAGAGATGGAAACCAAGGTTTTACCATACACCAGACTCTGCAAAAAGCTTCACATATTATTATCTAATTTGTATCTTCAGAATAAGCCTAGGAGGTAGGTACATTTTATATGTAAGAAAAGAGTAGCATGGAGAGATGATCTGAATAGCCCAACGTGTTACAGTTGTAAAAATGGCCCAGAGCCAGGAGCTGAATCTGCAGGCAGTTCTGTGACAGTGGTTTGGAAATCAGAGGGAGGTCTTAATGTTGGAATGGGAGTGTGACTCTAATCTAACCAAACACTAGAGAGGACAAACTTCAGTGCCTAAGAGAACAGTTCGTTATTGGCCAAGTCAGTTTCAGGGAATAAACTGTGGTCACCAATGTGCTCTCAGAGGGAACCTGGCCATCCAGTTAGGGGCTCCTAACTTGGTTTGAGTTGGGGAGAATTTAACATTGTCCTTCTTCCCAGGAATCCGGAAGGAGGGGCAAACATCAGATTGAAATGTGTCAGCTATTTTCATTTTGTGCTCTTTGGGCCTCCTTTCCCTCCAGGTCAAGAGGGAAGTTGTAAAATCACAGGGTAAACTCTCTGCAGTTGCCATGGTGACCTCACAGTTTACAGAAGTTTATGCACACAAAAATCCAGGAAAAAGGTCCCAACCGAAAAGTACACAGAGAGCAAGGACTGTCCGTGAACCTTTTAAATCATGCAACTATTTTTCTGGAGTTTTGCACTGTGCCACCTCTTTCAGATGAAGACAATTGCTGCAAGCAAATTGCCACACAGAAATTCTGCAAGGCAAAAATATCTGTCACTCAGTCCACCATAATTCTCTTGGCCAATCTGTCCTTCCTCAGCAAAACAGCACCCCTCCAGCAGGGTCCAGCTTCTGTAGTTAGTCAGCTGTGTGGATGGAACGTCACTCACTGGCCTATGGCTGCTACATCTGCAGGCTTACCCACTCCTGTGTCCACCTTGTGTTTTGTTCCTCATTTGTATTAGGCCCCTCTGGGTTGGGGAGAAAGCAAAGCACCGCCTGTTGTTTGGGTTCGTTCTAGGGCTAGACATGGGAGGGGAAGAGATGCTGCACATTGATAATGTTACTTCCTGCTTCTCAGAACATATTCTTTCCCATGCTTCCCTGTCCTTCGGCCCGCTCTTGTCCAAACCCGGACAAGGCAGGTGCAGACTGAGATCCGGGATGAGGGGCAAGAGTGGCTAAGAATGTTTTCTGCTGACATCCAGCCCTGGATTTCTGGCTTTCTTCAGTATTAGAATAAGGGGCTTTGTTTTCTTTCTTCTGGTTCCTGCGTGGAAGCATTTTACACCTTCTAGTATTGAATGCATAAACTGCAAACTGGGCAAAGGCTCTTCAGAGGAGCCCAATCAGGCCGTGAATGAAATGACACGTGCCCCTCACGATTCTGTAGTGGCCTCTCATTTTCCTCAGAGAGAGAAGGGAGGGTCACGCCCATCTCCCCCCTCTTCCTACTGAAAACACAGAGTTTTCATTCATTATTAAACAGTATCCTCAGACACATTGTAAGGAACCTCATTTAACGTTAGATGCCAAAATGGCCTATAGTAAAATTGTCAGAAGGTTGTTAGTCTCACTGGAAAGTTGGTTATAGAAAACTAAGCCCATTTGTCAAAGGGGGAAGGGTATTCCTCTAGTATTTCAATTCTGATTACAAATACGTTTTGATTTTGTTTCGTTTTTTAAAAAGCATACCATCTCTCAAAGAAGCCTTAGGTGCTTGCCTCCCTCGCTTTTAGGTTTGAATTCTATTTCCTCAGACATGTCCTAAAACTTGCAACATGTCTTTTTATATTTTTATATACCAAAATAAAGTGTATATGATCCAGGGATGTGGTTCTACTTGGGGAAACTTAAATTAATAGCATTGTTGGTAGCTTGATCAGCTCCACAAGATAACTGTTGTTTCAAAAATTCATCTTCAGTGTGGTTTCCTGTACTAACTTAAAAATCGTTCCCTTTAGACCATCTCTTGCTTCTTCTATAAACTGCAGAAATAGGTTTCAATGGTTCCGTTTCTTGTTTACCTAATGCTGAAGGAATAAATTAAACCCTAGAAAGTTTACAAAAAAGCCAGCATGAAAAATGAGGTGTTTGAAACGGGCATCATGACATCAGTGGGCTTCCGTCATTGTTGTTTTCAGATTGTATCAGGGATCTAGATGGTGAAACAAAGTGACCGTGCACTTTAAACTTTCCAAGATGACTTCACATGTTCTGACCCACATTCACACTTTTTAGACACTGTGCCCCCAAATTTTGATTTAATACATATTCTCTTGGTCTGTGAGAGAAACTGAATCATTACCATGTAAGAAAATAAAATGCCAATCATCAAATCAAACTTGATGCAGACTTCTGGGAATAATTGCCTCTGGGAATTATAATTTAGAAGAAAAAAACAAGATTAAGAAGGACCTGTTTTGTAAAAGCATACTAGAAAAAGATTTATGGGGTCATAGTGGATACAAAGAGGACATTTCCATGGTAAAACTCTGCAGATAAGAAAACAAGTCAGATCCTTGAGAACATAAAAAAGAGATTAATATTCATGATGACCTGACCTCTCCTGGCAGTTAACATGTCCTGGTCTGGACACTCCCAAAGGAAATAAGATCATTATAAGTAGAGTAATTAAGCAAAGAGATGATCTTCCCATTTCAAAGACACCAAGCTACTACTACTACTACTACTACTGTGACTACCAGTACTAGTACTAATAGACATTTACTATGTGTTCACTAATTATAACTGAAAATACTTTAGACTTAATCCTTAGTAAACTATGAAAGAGAGATGATTGTTCTATTTAGCAGAGACAGAAACGGAAACTTAGAGAAAGTTGGTAACTTGGCTGAGGCCCTAGAACTAATAAGTGGTGGGATTGCTGAGGGTATTTCGAAGGAGGATAATTTACTCCCTTACACTGGAAGAGCGGGCAGCATGGGTTACCAATGGCTTAATTTGCAAAGCTGCCACAATGAGCACAGCTCAGGGGCCGCAAATCCCACAGGCGGAGTCACCCTTGCACTTCTGGCCTGGAGGGCAGATCTAAGTGGAACCTGCAGATACATCCCAATTGCCCTTTTCAATGAATGATTTTTTTTCCTTTTTTATGGCTGAAATTCCTCTTCTGGGTGTTCACTGAATGTAGTTGTCTTCTCTGTTATGTGCCAGGAAGTCATGATACGTTCACGAAGAGGCAAATGAGAGACCCAGTGGCCCAAGGACATTTTAGACTTATTACCCAGATATTTGGGGATCCACTAGACATTCTTAAAAACAAGCTTTTCTTAGGTTATAAGACCGCATCTCATTAAAGTAGGCTAATCCCTTTCAGGCAAATCCTTTGGCAATAGAAAATGTTGAATTTTTTTTGACATTGTTGTGTCATTGTTTATACTTTCTTACTATTTAGCATTTATCAGACATCACTGATTTCAGGCAGATCATTTATTTGCCCCACAAGGAAAGGTCATTTACTAAAAATTGGTAGATCCCTTACTTCCAAAATGCAATAACATTCTGCATAGTAATCTATTTAAGGGACAAGGCTTAACACGAGTCTTTAGCCTTTTTCGACCATTTCAAAAGGCGTAAAATGCTTCCAGAAACCATTTAGTAAAAATAAACAGATTCCATATTTTAAAGGAAACCTTGCCAGCTAGGGGAAGATTGTGTTTTACCCAAATTTTCTAGTGTAAAAACACTTGCATGATTTATTTTCAGTAAGTCCTTTGAGAGAAAAAAAGCAAACACATTTCTTACTCAGTTTCTCATTGTTTTCTTCCTTTCTTTTGAAGTATTGACCTGAAGCTGAAAGAAAAGCCCTAATTGGCCACGGCTGGAAGAAGAGGATGCTTTTCTGCTTTGTGGTTTTGTTGAGACACATCTACCTGGAAGAGGCAGGGTTGATGGTACTTTTTTCCACTGCACTTCCTGGTGCCATCCTAAATTTCTAAGGGGAAAAACAGTAAGGGGATTTGTTTACTCCTTAACATGTTTTATGAACTTGTATGTATTTTCCTATTTTGCCAATTATGTGCCTCAAAGATTTTAGTTGAACCTTAGCAAGAACGTAGGACCTCCCATTTCCATATTTCGTTCACCTTTGGTGCAGTGGTATCTCATCTCTTAGACTGGTATTGACCAGTAAGATAACTTCAATTCACTATGAATTATGAGTGGAGTTCCTTCCATAGATTAGCTGGGTTTCTCCGTGCTGATCGTTTTGGGTTTAAAATGCACAGGGCTCAACTCTCCCTGGAAAAGTTGCCCCCACGTCACTCCACTTTTAAAATCCTGAGCTTGCTTCACACAGACACTAGTGAAACCACTGTCAGCTAAGTGTCTGCTTGGAATCGTCTCTAACATCTCAAAGGGAAGCCAGTTTTTCCAGTTCGCATCCATCTTGTTTTAGTAATCGAGCATCATACTTCCTGTGAATTTGTTTTTTAAAAAATCATTTCTCCAGGGAATGTTGAAGACCTCTGCATTGAGAAATGTGAAGATCATTGCCCACATTTTTGGTAGCTGTCTGTGCTTCAGGTCATAACTGAATTCAAGATGTTGTACTCTAAGTGCCAAGTACTCAAGGGTAAGCTGGCCCGCTTAGAAATTCATTAGCTGGTGACATTCAGTTATCTGAATTTCTCTCTCACATACCTTATAAAAAGTAATCTGCTTTAAAACACTTGAATCTGGTCACAGGTTTAAAATTAAATCTGAGTATGTACTGTCGTTTGCCAAATATCCCCTTATGATTTTCATATGCCCTTTAACATGCCCAGGTGATTTCGAATCTGTGGGCCTCTAGCGGAGGGGATGGCAAAGCACAGCCCACTGTAACACCACCTGTTCTCAGCTGGCTTGCTAGTTAAGACTGTTTTTCACACTTTGGATTGAAAAAAATTTTTAAATATTTTATGACACATGAAAATTATTCAACTTCCAATGTTCATAAATAAAGTTTTACTGAAACACAGCCACAGACATTTATTTAGGAATGAGATCTCTGTGGCTACTTGCCTACTATAACAGCAGAGTCGAGTAGCTGCAACGGCCCATGTGGTCTACAAGCCGAACACATTTACTGGCTCGACAGAAAGTTTGCTGAGCCCTGATCCAGCAGTCATCCAGAGCGTCACCCTCCACTTGTGCGTAGATATGTTTCTCTAACACGCATGAGTAAGGCTGCAAACTAATCTATTCTTAAAAAATCAAGTTCGGCTGAAAAAGGTTGTGTTTGCATGACCCTCAGTGAAGCCTGCTAAGAAGGTTTTTGGCTGTTTACAGGTGTTGATCTTACTCTGGAAACTAAGTCTTCAGTATCACCTGTTACTAATTAGCTAGCAAAACTAAAAATGACGTGGAGAATGGCGTTCCACCATAATCTCAGGGTAGCGACTACATCCAGGAGAGCTGTCTGTGGTACTCTGAGCCCTGGGTATCATAAGCTCTGAAATGCTTTGAAGTAGACACCTTTGCACAGGTGACTGAATTTCACTGACCTCATTAGCTTCATGTTGGTCTCCCACCCATCTTCCAGACATGCTCTCATACACACAGGTCAGCTGTCTTCCTTCCATAAACCATAGTTATCCATGTTCCCCTCTTGGTCCCTATCAGCTGACTATCTCCTTGAACTGTGTTCTTTAGGGTCTTCTCCCTCATAACATCGGCTTGTCTTACAGGATACCCTGGAGCGTACCTTCCCTCACAGCCCAGCTCCACCTCTGGAAGCCCAAATTATGCCTCTCCCCGAACTTTTGTTGACATAAGTACAGTGACCCCATATTCCACTTTATTCACCCATTTACCATTGTTGCCCTGGAATAATTATTTATGACGCTTCCTTTTGCTCAGTTGTGTCCCATTTTGGAAGATGAATTGCATGGTCCCCCTAGCCACAGGAAGTCATGAAGAATCCAGTGTTCGGCCTAATGGTGAAGCCTGAGGACACAGAGCTGTTGATAGAGGGCTTTTGTTATATTCAAGCAGACATGGCAACAATCTCATCATTCACATTCTCTTTGAACTTGTCCAGCCTTCTCATGGAAGACTCCTCAGGTGGTATTCTGTTTGAAGTTTAACCTTCCTACATAGAAATTACAAGCCTCTTTTCCAATCAGTGATTTTATGTGGGCTGTTCTATGGGCTGTATAATCATTCTGATAGTTAGGCATTTGCTATTTTATTATCTTTAAAAGAAAAATCAATTTACTTGCATGTGCTAGAGAAAAGCCACCATGTAAATTCAATCCAAATAAATAGAATCCTAGAAGAAGCCTGAAGAAATAATTCCTAAGCAGATAGGTAAGCAGATGTAAACATCCACATCATTAGCTATCTAGATCTTGCATTCTGAGCATTCTTGCTTTGGTTCAGACTTCTGGGAACTGTTTTGCACTTTTTCTGTAGATTTGTAGTTAAGAGAACCAAGGGGTCCCTGGGGCAAAAGTATTGTTTTCCCAAAGGGCAACTACTCTTTGCTTAGCTCCTTGATTAAGAGAAAGAACAACAATTCTGCCCATAAGATACTGCCAAGGAGTGAGGGCAACAGCTGGGTGTGGAAGGAAAACCCTGACGTTCCGGTTGAAGCCATACAGTATTTTATGGGGTTATCTTCTAAGACATACTCCAAGATGGGTGAGGAAGTCACTACTCCAAGCCTTTGTGTTATTAAGATTTATTTTAAGTATTCATGTATGGTACGATGTTTGCAGCGCTCATCTAAATCACAACGCCTCCGTAGTTGGCTCCCTTAGACACGTTGATGTGTGCACAAATGAATCTTTTATATATTTAAAGGGTTTTCTACCATGTATTGGATTGCTCAGAGTAAAGTATCTATTAGACTTTGTTTGGGTAAATAAATAAATAAATTATCTTAAATAGTGTGGGTTAATAATATAAAAATGTGTAGCAACACTATATATTTAGCTTCTCTGTATAATTGAGAAATAAACTTCGATTCCACAAGTTATGGCTTGCTTCCTTTGAGTCGGCAAGAATCTTTCTCTAGCCTCACGTTGTGGCAGCCTTGTCTGGCTGTCACTGTAGCTTGGCCATTGGTACTTGAAGACAGTGTACATTTTGGCTTTCTTGTTTTCCAAATTTTACTCTTGTAATTTTTTTAAAAAAATCTTTATTCTTTTCACTTTTGCCTTCCATGCCTCAGTGATATCAGCTTTCAAAGCACATGTTTACCCTCTAGGTGAGCAAGGTCACATATTGGAAGTGTCTCCATGTTTCATGGTTATTTGGTTTCGTCAGCTTCGTTCTCTGCCCCTTGCCTTTTGATGGCATATATTTGTTTTAAGTTAAAATGCACTAAGTAGCATTTTTTTTTTTTTTACCTTTACAACCTTCAGGCAAAATCAGCACTGGGAATTACTGCTGTGGTTTTTATTAAACTAATAAATCAGTCCATACTGCTGCCTCTAGGAAAATTGGAGTAACCAAATGATAAGTGGTTCCACAAAAAGTAAAACGTTGCATGTTCTCGTGATCTAAGAATGAGTTCTGGTGGGCATTGTCCTCTACCCACCAAAGGGAAGATGGTCAAGAGGGGTAATCACAGGCAAATGAAGGGCATGATACTACGAGGTGGACTGCTACATTCATTCGGCTCCCTTTATGTCACTGTGGAGGTGGGAATTGGAGGCAGGCTGAGTGTCCAGCACTAGAGGAAAAAATAGGTAAGATGTGATAGATACACACTATTGTATATTACACAGCTCTTAGGAGCAACAAACTACACATTCACAGAGCAACACTTCAATCATAGGACAGAGTGGAAAAAGTAAGAAAGAATTCAATATTTATAGCACTGTGCCATTTATGTAACTGCTAATTCTACACACACACACACACACTACCCATGCATGTTATGTTTAAGGACTTAGCACACCCTAGTGAGTACAGGGGGTAAGGGAAGGAGCAGGGATCCAAGATGAAGTTGGGAGACTAATTTAAAAACAAAATCAAAAAACTTTTCATAGGCTGCTGTTAAAAGTAACGTACACCTTCTGTAGCTGACCCATTGCCCTGGGTTGGCAGCGCCCATGTGCTGCGGCTGCCAGAAGCTGGCCTTGGGTTACACCACCCTGTTTGCTCATGGAGTTTTTAATTAAGCTGGTGCCCTTGGACACAGCTGTGGGCTTTATAGAGCAAAGAGATTGCTTTGTGAGGCCGATTTTCCTAGACCGTTTCACTCACATTCACCAAATAAATCCCTCTCTTTAGCCATGCAAAATGATTGATTTTCAATCTATAACCATTTTGACAATACTTAGAAAACAGGCACTAATTAGGAACTATTATCCACTACCTCTCTAGCCTTACCCCTAGTGAGAGACCTGCATCCTTGATACTTGATCATGTCACAGCCAGTTCTCAACATGGTGGGTAGTTATGTCCTATAAAGTCACTGAGGACTCTCAGTGAGTACAGACTGAATCGTTGCTTCTAGAGGAAGTGCAAGGTTAGGTTCCTGCCAGCCTCTGGTCACATCATTTCCATGAACTGCTTCCATCACATAACCTTGTTTTATGTGATGTGTGTTTCTGTTTAAATACACCTTATTGAATATATAGGGTTGACCTGTTAACATTGAATTCACAGCTAACAGCCTGAATATAACTCATGCCTGAACAAAGCTTATCTAATAGAAGAATTTTCTCCATAAAGCACATCACAGCCTTCCTGTGCTTAGGAAGACTAGGCAGTACTTCAGCTCTCTGCTTGCAGACTATTTTAAACAGTGAAATCACCAGTAGAGATGAAAAAAACGGACAAACATGGCACTGAATGGACTGTGAAAAGGATGTGTGTTTACAATGTGAGCAGTGAAACAAAGCAGAACCTTGCCTGGTTCTGCCTCCTCTAAGAATGTGTGCATCAAGCAACTCAAAATGTTCACTGCTCTGGCCCGGCCGGTGTGGCTCAGCGATTGAGCGTTGACCCATGCACCAAGAGGTCACGGGTTGATTCCCGGTCAAAGCACATGCCCAGGTTGTGGGCCCAGTCCCCAGTGGGGGGCATTCAAGAGGCGGCCAGTCGATGTTCTCTCTCATCGATGTCTCTATCTCTCTCTCCCTCTCCCTTCTTCTCTAAAATCAATAAATAAAAATTTTTAAAAACTTCACTGCTGTGTACTCATCCATAGTGACTGTGGAAGTGCGCTGAACATGGATTTGGGGGTTACAAACACATTTTAGTGAGGAGGCAAGTATGTAAGAATTCAGTCCTTGAATAATGAATATGGACTGTTCCTAAACATGGTGTTCTAAAGTAACATACATTTGTGCTCCAGTTTCTGTGGATTAGAAATCTGGGTGCCTCTTAGCTGGGTCCTCCTCTTCAAGGTCTCCCACAGGCTGTAATTGCAGTGCTGGCCCGGGATCTCTCACAGGACTCCATCAAGGTCAACTGGCAGAGAACCTACTTCCAACCTCATTCACGTGGTTGTTGGCAAGATTCGGTTCCTCAAAGGCTGCTGGACTGAGGGCATCGTTTCCTGCTGCCTTTTAGGCGGAGGCTGTCCTCCTTCTTTGATTCATGGGCCCCTCCACCATGGCAGCTTGTTTCATTGAGACCAACATGTCAGAGTCTGCTGGCAAAATGGAAGTTACGCTTTTTGTAACCTAATCACAGAAGTGACATCCTATCAATATTGTTGTGTTCTTTGGGTCAGAAATAAGTCACTAGATCCAGACTCAAGGAGAAAGGGTTATACAGGGGTGTGAATAGTAGGGGGTGGGAATCACTGAATGTGATTTTAGAAGTTGGCCTCCCACAACCCCTACCCCCTGCCAATTCCTTTTTGACTTCGTCACACCTCCAAGTGAGGGCATTTTTCAATGTTTCTCTTTCTTGCTTTTTCTGCCAGTTCCCTGGGACTCCAACAACACACTTCTTCATACCCTCGTTTCAATC